AATTATCCGAAACCTCCTGGCCCCTCCATCATCACAGGTCCCACCTTCCCAGCCTAGTCTCTTTCCTGGTGAAAACATGGCCTCTGCAGATCTCGGTCCCCTAGAGTTGACCTCTCCACATCTCTACAGGCATTTCCTGCTTTGGTGACATCTTTCATCTGAAGGGACTGGAGGTGTTTTGTGCAACCAGCACACAGTGGGCACAGTGTGCATGCCTGCAGAGTTGGTCAGACCACCAAGAAAGACAGTGCCTTCCTGCTGTAAAACTCCAGTGGAAGTTGGCCAGTGGCTGGGATGGTGATCCTCACAGAGTGGTCTAAGGCTCCCAGTGGGCTATCAGGGTCCCCTTTATGAGCCTTGAAAGGAATGAAACAACTCTTGGGGGGGCAGGGTGTTCTTTATATAATAGAAGTTGAGTAAATGAGCCATGGGACTTTCCTCATAGTCAAAAGAGTTTGAGAGCATTGGAGAAAAGTATAGTGTGGTTAAGAAGCAAAGAAATGGTCACTGTCTTTGAGGGTGTCTTCTGTTGCACCTAAAAATGGGCAGACTAGCCTATGACACAGAAGGATCCTGAGAAGGCCCACTGATGGCCTTGGCCTCAGAGACTCATCACTGTCCTTTTAGACTCCAGATCTTGACTCAACTGATGTCATTAGAGCAGCAACTCCAGTGTCCCAGGTGCTGGCAGAGACTCCAAGCCCAGGGAGATAAGGGAAGAATTGTCCTCCGTGCCTCCAGATCTCTCTCCCTCTCTCTCCCTCTCTCCCTATCTCTCTGTTTCTCTCTCTCTCTGTTTCTCTCTCTCTCTCTCTCTCTCTCTCACACACACACACACACACACACACACACACACTGATGTGAGTACAGGTCACCCACTTTGGCCTGATCAGCACATTCCCTTATAATAAAGGGAGTAAGCTAAGCTTCAGAAGTAAGAGGCTTTGAGCCCTCTCACCAAGTCAAGGGCCAAGAAGACCTGTCAAGAGCTGTTACAGTGCCTGGGTGAGTTTACCCATGTTTGTCCCTGCAAGCCCCCTTAACATTTATTCTTACGGTTGATCATTTCTTCCTACCCACCCCACTCCACAGACAGTTCTGTTCAGAAGCATTCTCCAGACAGCATGCATACAATTGGTTGGATTCTGAATCCCATCCTTCCTGTGTTCCTGAGAATTCTCCCAGTTCATCTCGATTGATTTCCTGGGTATTCTCAAGCCCTTGGCTCACACATTTAGGAATGATTTTTTATATTACTACTACAGATGGCTAATCACATGAATCATATATGAATTTTAGTAGTTTAACTCTGAGGGCAAAGTGAATTTCCAAAGCCTTAGGATATATCTTATTGTGGCCTCTAGGCCCTGCAGTGTCTTCTAATCCTTTGATCTGTTGGTAGAAGCAAGCCCTCCAAAAGTCACAGCTCCTGGGTGGCAGAGATAGATACTTAACTGTGCTTTCCAACTATTATCCCTCCTCTGAATTAGGCATTAGCCTTCACCCCTTCAGTGAAGCCAGCTTTAAACATTTTTCCCACGTTGCATATACAATTGGGATGGTCATTATCTGAATCCCTGAACCACCACTTTTTGAACAGCAGAGAAATCAAATAAGAGATGAAAGCAGCTGTAAATGAACTTGTGTGTGAACTGAAAAGTTAGTAGCCCATCCCCTTAGGAGGGCAGGGGCAGAAGTTTAATGACTCCCCTATCAGGGTCATTTTGTTAGTTGCCACTTTCAGGATGGTCCCAGCTCCTAAAGTATCACTTGCTTAACAAATGTCTACTGGTAGCTTTCCCCATGCCAGGCACAGAGTATGGGGTAGGATGAACAAGAGATGAACAAGACACCATGCTTGCACTCCAGGAACTCACAGTCTAGTGAAGGTGGGAACATTGGTTTGCTGGCAAGTGGTTCCTGGAATAAATTATGGGATAATGACTGGCAAGAAGGAGAAGGGACATTTGGAATTAACTCAAGAGGCATTCAGCCTTACAGTCATTCCTGCAGGCACAAGACTGTTTCTATACACTGGGAGCACTGGTCCCTTCTTCCTCCTTTTCCTTCCCCTCCTACTCTTCCCTCCTGGTCTGTGGAGTCTGGTGGCGTGTCCTGTCTGAGGACTGTAGCCACTGCCCTATGGGTGAGTCACTTCCACCCACCCACACACACGAGCAGCACTCTGCACTCCATGAAAGGAACATGAGTCTTCAGATTAAGCTCAGATTTGGACTAATGTATTTATTTATTTATTTTTTTAAGTTAAAAAGTGAAAGCTCTTATTTGAATATGAACATGCTTCACCATTTCATTTTAAAGCTTAAGGATTGTGCTAATTTTTTAACGAATGCATGTATCCCAGTATCCTGGGACCCCAGGTCTAGGAACCTTGGACTAGTCAGTATAAAAAAAGCAAAGGAATTCAACTAGTGAGGTTTATAAAGCTAATCAGGAAAGTTGTTCTGATTTTTTACCCAAATTTAATTCCAAAACCAAGTGAAATGATCCCAGAACATCTATCCCTAAAGATTGTATTGTTCATGAACTGATAATCTGACATATTATAAACTCAACAACATTTGGTAAGTGTTAGTCCTGTTACTGAGCACTGGAAATACTGAGCAAGATGCATTCTCCACCCTCATGGTTCCTTGATGTTTCTTCACAGTAACAAACACAGCTTCTAAAGGTTCTGCCAGAGCTGAAAATCAGTCTGTCTCTGTCTCTGTCTCTCCCTCTCCCTTCCCCACTTTCTTTCTCTCCTTCTGCACACTGGTCATGGTCTTGGGCAGAGTATGTTGGCAACTAGCACATTGACCTCTGGGCACTGCTTTGTATGATCGTAATGTGCTACCTGGCTGTATCTGTCAGGACAGACTAGGTTATGCTGTAGTAACAAATGACTCCAAAATCTTAGTGGCTTAAACCCAAGGTTTATTTTTTACTGAAGCCACACATTCATCACGAGTCAGCGGGGCTCTTTGCTTGTTGCAGCCACTAGAAGACTCAGGCTGATGGAGCAGCCACTATTCTGAGTGCTGCTGATTATTGTGCCTAAGAGAAAAGAAAGCTCTAAAAAGTCCTCAGGCTTAGGCTTCAGGTTCCAGCCTGCAAGTGTCACATGTCACTTCCACACAAACTTCAAAGGCCATAACTAGTTACAAGACTCTACTCAACAACAGGAATCCAAGAAGTTCAATCTACCATATGCCCAGAAGTGAGGAAAACAAACTGTTAATATCTGGCAAACAACACTGGCACCCACTGTCATGGGGTATAGTAGACTGGACAGATGCCAGTCTAAGTCCTATGATGCTAGGCCACTGGGTGATCTCAGCCTCACCACAGTGAATCCCCTTCCCCAGCTGCAAAGGAAAGTAGGAAAAGAACAATTACCAGACAACTCTCTGGAATAATCTGAACCCAGGGTGACCCTTTGTGCCATTCTCCAGCCACATAGTTAAACACAAAAATGAAGGGGAGGAGGCTGGGGGGCTAGTGTAATGAGAAGGTTAAGTGTGCAGAGACTTCAAAACCAGACAGGTTTGGGTTTGTTTCTGGTTGCACCATTTACGCCCATGTGAACTTTACAAAATCTTAACGTATCTGCACCTCAGTTTCCTCAACTGCAAAATAAGACTAATAAAGCTTAATTCATAAGTTTATTGCTGGGATACACCGAGATAAAGCATGCAAACCCTTTAGCCCAGTACCTGGTAACTGACAAATATTCAGTAAGTGGTAACTAATCATTGGTAGTGTTAGGATTGGAATAATAAGCAAATATCAGCACAATGTCTAAAACACATTGTGTAACAAACCAAAGGATTTTTTAAAAAGTGTTGCCTCTCCTTGAAGTGCTCTAGTAAGTGTTAAGAAGAGGAATTCAGGAGAGAGATGACCCCAAGTAAAGTTCACGTGAGACATCAATGGTATGTTACAGTTGGAACACGTTTCCCAGCATTCGATCTTTGAGGACACTAGGTATGAAATTCCTCTAATGGGCTGAGTGGTGAAGGGCATAAGCTCTGGTGTCAGACTGAGTGTAAACCCAAGCTCTACTAACATACAGCTGTGTGATGTCAAGCAGCTTAGTTGATCTCTTTCTCATCTTCAGAATGGGTACAATAATTACAAGTGATGGGGGAGGGCCATGTTGATTAAATGAGATAAAGTATATAAAACGTTTAGCCCAGTGCTTGACATGTCATAAGGGCTCAGTGGATGTTAGTTAGAATTTTCAAACATGAGGAAATCGAGACTCCAAAAATTTAAGTCACTTGCCCAAGATCACACGGTTAGTAATTAGTAAAATTTAAACTCTGGGTTTTCCAAATCCAAAGCACATGTGTCTGTTTCACCACAATATTCTGTTATTTACACTCATATAATTGCCCTTCAGACTTCATTAATCTTCTGAAATTTGGGTCAAGAAGTTCTCAGGCATAGTTGAAGAAAAGCAAGAAGTTGTGCAGTGGGCAGACTGTGACAGTGGCAGGAAGCAAATGCAGTCACTCCACTTGCAAGACTGGAAACAAACAGGCTCCTACAGATACTTCCACTGAAGGCAGTGAGAGGCGTTACTTCACAGTTTGTGATAACCTGCTACTGAGTACCTGTGATCCATCAGGCTCAGGGCCAGCTGATTTGCTTATGTTGTCTCACTTAATTTTCCCACAGCTCTTTAAGGGAGGGAAGTACTCATTATCCTCATTTTACTGAGGAGGAAACTTAAAATTCAAAGGGCTAAGCAATTTACTCAAGGTTGCATAAATGACCTTAGAAAACGGCAAAGCTTCTGAAAGATAAATTAGGTTGAAAACAAACCTTTCTGCACCGAACAATACAATCTCATTAAAAAATTTCTTTGATTAGCATTTTTCCAGATCTTCAGAGTAATAAATGCTCATGATAGAAAATTTTGAAAGTGAAGTATAAAGAAACAGGAAAAATTATCTATGACTTTACCATCCAGAGTCAACCAATGACAATTTTAGTACATACAGCTCCTTCAAATATTTTTTCCATCTTTTTTTTTCATTATATAGTCTAGATTAGACAACACAATTTTATAATGCAGTTTTATTCAATCCTGTAAAGCATGTACTATATAAACAAATAGCCAGAATATTTATGCAAACAGTATTTTAATGTACTCTACTTTTTTAAGCAAGCGGTAAAAGACAACAAATAAGCTGATAGATCTAATTTATTTTAAAAACCCAAACAAAACAGTACCAGGCTGTGGCCTGTGGTTGCCATAAATTCCTTTCTGTTTTCCACTCCTTTTCCATCTGGAGGACATTGAAGATTGATGCCCGGTCCGTTTTGATGACCACAGCGATGATTCACAAGCATCACAGATTAAAGGATGTTTAACTACATTTCCCTCCTCTGGCTTGCGCTTGGACAGGCCAGCACTCGAGCAGCCCAGATTATGGGACCATTCAGTGGACATCGGAAACAGGAAATGAACCACATCTCCCTAATGTGGCTTAGATCATGTTCCAGTTTCCTCTTTTGGTCATTTTGGCTGGCTCTACAGTAGCCCTCTTGTCTCTGGGATCTAGATTTCAGGTCTGCCTTCTCTGTAGCCTTCAGAAACTTCTTTGACTAGCCATAGGCTAGGCAGACAATGGTAGCTGTTTTGCCTTTGTGGGGAGTCCTTGCCCTGTGGGATAGAAAAAGAAAAAAAATGAGAAAAGCCCTTTGAGATGAATGAAAATGCTCTCAGCCTAGTGAAATCTAAAAATAGTCTCCATGTGAGCAGAATACATGGCCCCAAAGAGTCCTAAAGGGAGAGCTAGGGGAGGCTCCAGCTACAGAAATGCTAAAGGTCAGAAGCAGACATTTAGGGTTTGCTGTTTTATATGCTTAAAGACCAGGTCTGTGTTTTGACAACTGAACTTGCTAATAGCCGGCCACTTGAGTTGCTGCTTCCAGCTCTCTGTTTGTTTTAAATAAGGAGATTCAGCCAGTAATAATGGGAGGAGCTGCAAATGACTTCCCCAGTTGGGAGTGCCTGCTTGTTTTTCCTTCTGCCTGGGCTTGCTGATGTGTAAGCCAGGCTCACAGACTCGCACATCTGAGGAGCTGGGGGGGGGGTAGGGGGCTCTATCTGTATATTTATAATATTTATATAGGATATATATACAAGAGGGTGTTCAAGTACCAAAATACATAGGTAACCACGGATGGAAATAGGAATTCTGTTGTAAGGATTTAAATATAACATTTCTCATACATTTATTTCTTCATTCATTCCTTTGACAAATGCTTGTAGAGCACCTGCTATGTCTGAGAAGCACTGTGCTATTTGCTGTGAGACATGCTAAGATTTATAAAACATGGGCCTTTGTTCCTCCCCCTTCAGAAGTTTAACATCCAAGGTGGGTACTATCTGATCATCCACAAAAGCATACACATGTCCCCTGCAGTGAAAGATGTTGTGAGACAAATGTTTTAGGAATGGTGCTATAGGCATCAGAGGAGTATGTGCTCACTTCTGGCTCAGAAGACATCAAAGAAGATAGGAGTGCTACGAATCACAGAGCAACCATCCAGAGGCAAGGAAAGGGGCAGCACTGGGAGTTGCAAGCAGACTGGTTTACCTGGAGAGGATTCACATGGATTGAAATGAAATTGGAAGCTAGGAGTCTGATCGTGTAGGGCCTTGAATGCTGAGTTCAGTTGACCTAGGCATATATAGATGGGGAGGGAGGAAAGAGGTAGCTCCCAAAGTCTCAGGAATACAGGAAATAAAACTGAAATTATAGCATAAAATGACTCTTCACTTTCAGAATGGCTTCCAGGCCAGCAAGCCATCAATATATGCTAAGGAAATAAATTCATTAGAATTTGTCAAAGTTGTGGAAACGTCATAACCTCAGAATAAGAGATAACCCTTTAAGTTGACTATGTTAGGAAAAGATAAATTCTGTTTCATTTTTCTCACCCATGGCCCAGTGAAAAGTTCATCATAATCATTGATATAGCTACGTTCCCCTACTCCAACTCGAAGCTCACCAGGGAACCTTATGAATTTTTTGTGGGTCTATGGGAGAAGTCACCAGAGGCTCCATTGGTGTATTAGCTACCAACCTGGCCTTGCACGTAGGTCTCTTGAGAGCTTTGCTAGTGTGAATAAGTGTTCTCAGGTGAGATCAGCTCCTGGGACACTGGCCAAGTCATGCTTTCGAACCTTCAAATTTTTAGAGTAAACCCTGGAGAATTTACCAAGGCAAATGGCTCTTCCTAGAGTTGGATCTAGGCTACTCACTAGCTTTCCCTCTGAGCCTCCTTAAAAAGCATCCAGTCATTCAAAATACCCACAGTTCTGGGTAACGCAAAAATTTAATTAATAGACTTCTGTGTATTACATATATAAAACACAAGGAAATGAATAGAATTACATAGCCTTACACTAAAAGACTCTAAATGTTAACACTTTTTTTGATGATTCAAGAATTATATCACCAAAAGACATAACCAGAACATACTAGAACTCTTAAAAAAACAACAGAAAACAACCCAATATAAAAAAAAAAGAAGAAGAAGAAGAAGAAAAGGTAAAGTAATTAAACAGGCACTTAACCGAAGAGGGTAGCTGCATGGTAAGTACATAAAAAGTTGTTCAGCAACATTAGTAATTAGGGAAATAACAATCAAAACCATGATAAGTTACCACTACACAGTTACTAAAATGGCTAAAATAAAAAAACACTGACAATACCAAGTGCTGACAAGGATGCAGAGCAACTGGAAATCTCATGCATTATAGGTGTGAATGCAAAATGATAAAGCTACTCTGGACAATGGTTTGGGAGTTCCTTAAAAATACACAAACATGTGACCCAATAATCCCATCCCTTGGGCATTTATTCTAGAGAAATGAAAACTTACGTTCACACAAAAACCTCTACATGCCTGTTTACAGAGCTCTAGTCATAATTATCAAAAACATGAAACTGCCCAAATGCCCTTCGATAGGTAAATGGGTAAACAGAAACTGCTTCAGAAACTTACAGTACTTTTGGGGAACATTTTGACTAGTGTCATGAGGTGGTACCACAGGAAGGAAATGATCATATTTTTTCTTCCTTAAGATTCCAGATAAAGGGAGGATTGTATGCTCCTACAAACATAAGAAAATGTGTAAAGGCTGCCAGATAATTATCTGATGCTTGCATTAGCCATATTGTGCATGTATAAGTATTTGTGTTGCAGCTAACTGTATAAGTAGCAAGTATGAAGTATAAATTTTATCAAAACAGAAGAGTAAAGTACCTGAGTGGGAGAAGCAAGAGAAAGGCTGCATGCAGAAAAAATGAAAGAGTCTCTGTTCCTCACTGTTGACTTCAACCCCAGAACCAAAATGAGGCAAGCATGTGTATGAGTGTGCATGTGCGTGTACGTGTGTGTGTGTGTGTGTGTGTGTGTGGTCTATGTTCATTTGGAGGGCTGAAAGCCTTTGACTCAAATTTTTAAAAATTAACACTCAATAGTGTTCAGTGTTTTTAAAACTGGTCTTTTTAAGCTGGTTTTAAAAACTGGTTTTTCCCTTTGGTGGAAAAAAAGTCTCATATTTAGTTGGACGTGAGAGTAGACAAACTTAAAGAATTGCAAGGCAGGAGGCCCTGCCAGAGGAAGCGCTGTCTAAGCGCACACGTCAGCGCAGGCTGGGTCTTTTGCTGTCCTACGTGCCGCAGGACACGGCTCCGTGTGATCAATCCTGTCACGTCAGCCACTGCGTCTGAAACTAGTGACCTCTTCCAAAGCAGCAAAAGTTATTTTGCTGCAAATCAATCTCCACGTTCCAAATGTTGTTTAATCAGGGGTGGGAGAGCCACTAACTGAATTAAATGAGACTCAAGTTTACCAGCAGGTGGCAATAGAGGTAATGTGTCTCCCCAAACATTAAACTTGCATCAGCCAGAGATGTGAACCTTCTAAACTTGATTGGGTGCCCAGATTCACTTCACTCTGCCCTACACTAGCATTCTATAAGATAGAATTACTCAAACCAAAATACTATAGCCAGAAATACAAGGTTTTTTTGTTTTTTATTTTTTGTTTTTTACTGAGCTGCTATTGTGCTCAGTTTTCTAAGGAGTTGATGTTTTTAGTTGAAAAATTTTCCTCTAGGAGTTGATGTTTTTAGTTGAAAAATTGGAATCAATAACAAAATTATTTATGGCCCCATAAATTAGATTTATTCGTGATCAGGGAGGCTTAAAAAGGCAAAGAAATGCTGTTTTTAAATATAACCTCTTGGCATTCTGTAATGAGTGGAGCTCAAACTCTCATATGAACAAAGATGAAACAATTCAACCACTTCTGAATGTCAAAGGGACGCTAAGTTCCTAAGTGACTTTCCCAAACCTTTGTTGATTACTTTCACACATGAAAGGAATCATGTGTGATTCCTTAGATTTCAATGGAAAAAAACAAACTTTTTATTTTCACATAATAATTTCAAAGACCAGAGTAACAGGATAATTTGCTCTGAAGCTCATGTCCCAAGTAGATATCAGTGTCACAAAAACATTTTACCTGATTGTTCTCACCTGAGAACTTACAGAGTGCCTGAGCTCCCTTCTGTTCCACCAGCTTTCCCTGATTCTCTGGTTCTTCCTCCTTTGGCATGGGTTCATGCACTCCTAGCTCCTGGTCTCACTTCCCACAGCTTCTGTCTTCTGTGGCTCATCACTCTTCATTTCCCACAATCTCTCTCTTATAACTAAAGAGATGATTTAGAAAAATAAAAATTATAATACATAATTTGGAAAATAATACATAATTTAGAAAAATAAAATACATAATACATAATTTAGAAAATACATAATTTAGAAAAATAAAAATTATTTGTTGCTGTATTTCATGATCTTAAATTTAAAGGCTGGTTCAATTCCATATTTTTAGAAAACAGACATAAATTACTTTTCAATTATTTAACTTAATTTTTAAATAAGTACACACGTTCATGTGATTCAGAATTCAAAAGGCACAAAAGAGTAAGAATTTTCTCTCCTATCCTTTCTTCCAGCTAGTGGCAACTAATGCTTCTAGTTTCTGATGAATACTTGCAGAGATAGTCTTTATGAATACACAAGCAGTTAAATATATGTTCATGTGTATGTGTATATATGTGTGTGTGAGTGTGTATTTATAGAGATATTTTTTCTTTTTTCTTACACAAATGACAAATGATAGCATACTTTACACAAAAACACTTTTTTCATTTAGTTATATGGCTTGGCAATCATTTCATATCAATCCAGGAAGAACTTTCTCTTTCTTTTTTCATAGCCACAAAGTACTACATTCTATTGATAGTCCATAATTTATTTCATCAGACCACTACAGATAGGCAGTAGGATGTTCCCAATTGTAGGATATTACAAATAATTCCGCCATGTATAAACTTGTTCATATGTCACTTTGCACATATGGACAAATATCTGAAGGATAATTTCCTAGAAGTAGAATAGCTGAATTAAAGGGCATGTACATTGTAAGTTTAACAAATATTGCAAAACTGTCCTCCTAGGAGTTGTAGCCCCAGAGATACAAAAGAATACCTGTCTCCCTGAACTCTCTTGCTCTACTTTTCAGAACTCTTCTGGCTATTCTTACTTTCCTTCCCATACAAACCTTAGAATCAGCCTTAGTCCCAAAAAATATCATGTAGGAATTTTTATTGGAATTGCGTTAAATGCCTTGATTAATTTAGGGAGAATAGATCTTTCCATGCTGAGTCTCTTTATGAATGCTTTTCATATGCTAAAGTGTTCGTTTCTATCCTCAGTAGCAACTGGATATTTTCTTCATATACAGCTCACACATGTCTTCTTAAGTTTATCATTTGATATTATTATTATTATTATTGCTATTGCAAATGAGATCTTTTCTGCTATCTCTTTTAAGTGGTTGCTGTTATGTGTATGAAAGCGTTGATTTCTGTGCTCAGTTTGTACCTCACTAACTCACCAAATTCTCATATTCTTTGTAATTGAGTCACTTATGTTTTCCAGGTTTACAATCATATCATGACTCAACAATATCTTTTTCTTTCTATTTGGTATACTTCTGTTACAGACTGAATGTTTGTGAACCCCAAAATTTATATATTGAAGCCCTAACCCCCAGTGTAGCTATATTTGGAGATGAGATCTCTAAGGAAGTAATTAAAGTTAAATGAGGGTAAAAGGGTGGGGCCCTGATCCAGTAGGATTAGTGTCCTTATAAGAAGAGACACTGGAATGCTATCTCTCGCACACACACTGTGTGTCTGTCTGTCTGTCTCTCTTTGCCAAGTGAGAATACAGTAAGAAAACAACCATCTGCAAGCCAGGAAGAAAGCACTTAGCACAAATCAACTCTGCCAGACCTTCATCTAGGACTCTAGAACTTGAGAAAATAAATTTCTACTGTGTAAGCCTCCCAGTCTATGGCATTTTGTTATGGCAGTCTAAGCAGACTCACACAACCTCTAATTTCTTTATTTTGTGAAATGTACTGGCCAGAACCAGAACAGTGTAAAGTAATAGTGATAACTGTGGACATCTTTCTCTTATTTCAGAATTGAAAAGGAATGTTTCTAGTGTTTAAACATAACATTGGCTTTAAGTGGATAAATATATATTCATTTAAGAAAGAAAAGATATTTCTATTTTCATTGAGTTTTTAAAAATTTGTGTTATTTGTTGAAAATTAACAAATGCTTTTTAGCATCTATCATAATAGTTATATGATTTTTCTCCTTAGATCTACTGATAGAGTGAATTGTTAACATATTCCTATTATTAAATCATGCATTAATATGTCTTCCTAATGGATATCACACTTGGTGATAGTGATTATTCTTTTACTTTAATGCTGTAATCTGTTTGCTAATATTTTCTTTTGGATTTGTATATTCATATTAATAGATGAGACTGGCCTGTGGTATGTTTCTCCGTGCGTGTGTTTTGGGTTTTGGTACCAGTGTTATCTTAGAGATTTTCTTTTTTTCTATTCTTTGGAAGAATTTTAAGAGCATTGAAATGACCTGTTCCTTAATGAAATAGAATTCTCTGTAAATTCAGCTGGTCCTGGTGTTTGTCATTGTTGTTTGGTTGTTTGGAGGGTACTATTTCTTTAAAAACTCTTCTTTTTTTAAATGATAATTTGTATAGTTATTAGTTGTTTGTATGGAGACATTTTAAGTAATTTTATTTTAACAAAATTATGTATTTCCTAGGATTTCAAATTTATTTATAAATTTTTGAGAAAAGTAATCTCTATCTTTCTCTTAATTCTTTCTGTATTTGCAGTTATTCTCTCCCTTTACAATTTTTTATTTTATTTTTCTGAATATTCTGTAATTTTGATTTTGATTTTGTCTATGGCCCAAGAGTTGCTTTAAAAAGAGATTTGTTTTCTCTTTATTTATTAGGTATTATAATATTTTGTTTTGTTATCTTGTTTTATTATTAAGAAGTCTCTTGATGGCATCATAAACAGAGAATATTTTCTGCACTATTTCTACATTTTGAAATTTCCTGATGTTTTTCTTTGGCTTAAGACATGGCCAGTTGTTGTGAATGCTCCACAGGGCATGAAGAGAGGTTATAGTGTTCAGTACAAAGTATGATACATATCAATCACATCTACTTCATTAATTACGTCATTTAGGTTTTCCATATCAGGCTTTTTGTTTGTTTATTTCCACTTAATCTGTCATGGACTGAGGGAACTGAATTAAAATTTTCTGCTACTAAAGTCTTCCTGTCTCTTTTTTACCATATCTTCCATGGTTTTTGCTTTTATGATTGTGCTAGATCGTCTTCAACTTTTTAAATATTATACTGTTAAAACATTATAAGGTATGGTTCTTTGACCTCCTTAGGCTTTTATTTTTTGATAGTAAGACTGTGGCTCATTGTACTTGTTGGTATTACTCTGCCCATATTCTTATTCTTGGCTGTTCTGAATTCTTTGTTTTTGGTAGGTGTCCTATATAGCCTCTAGTTGGGTTTGGTTGGTGATCCAATTTGAAATTTTTTTCTCATCTTTGACTTCTGTTATCTGTTGAATTGTATTCCCTAAGAAGTCCTAATCCCCACGACCTCAGAATGTGACTTATTTGGATATTGGGTTATTGCAAATGTAATTAGTTAAGATGAGGTCATACTGGAAGGTGGGACTCTAATCCAATATGACTGATGTCCTTATAAAAAGGGGAAATGTAGACATAGGCACACAGAATGTCACGTGAAGATGGGATTTATGCCGTCACCAGTCAAGGAAATATCTGAAACTAGAAGTCATATTCTAGCACCTGCAGAGAGAACGTGGCCCTGCCAACAGACACCTTGATCTGAGACTTCTAGCCTCCAGAACTATGAGAATAAATTTCTGCTGTTCAAGCCACTCAATTTGTGATGCATTGTTATGATAGCCTTAGCACACACTAATACAACTTCTTTGTAAATTTCAGTTAATTTTCATATTAGTGGGGGACCTTTATATTAATTTTTTAAATCTTTCTTATGACTTAATAGGTGCAAATTTATGGCAAATTGCTGAGGAATTATGTATCAGATATTGCAAGTGCTAACAGGGTCCATAAGTTACCCCTAAAATGCTTTAAATCCCCACAACCCTGAAAAAAAAAAAACAGAGCTGCTTACACCTATCCCAACATTAACATCCTCTGAAAATCTCAAATAAGCTAGCTAAAAGCCAGCCAGCAGAGCAGAACACATCCTTTTCCTTGTAGGATTGCATGACTTACATGAATCAAAGAATTGAAATGGGTAATAGATTTTTCAGCAAAAGAAAAGTAAACCTAGACTCCCTGTTACCTGATCCAGAGATACCTAGCTAGGACTTGCATGGTCATTTATAAAAGTGGAACAACTTCTACTTCCTCCAGCAAGGGTAACTCATTTGCCTAACTCTGAAGAGCTAATAAGAAAATGAGGGCACCCCAGGGCCCTAACTAAAACAAGATCCACACCATTCTCCTCTCAAGGACCAATTTGTCATTTAACTGCCCATGCTCTACTGTCAACCAATGGATTTTTGTTTCTGTTTTACTTTGTCTACCAATACTCCCTGCAGTTCATCAAACAGAGCTAGAGGGCAGAAGCATTAGGCTTGGGGGGCTCTGAGTGGAGGAGGGCCTGGTGCTGCACTGCAGAGGTGCCCGGATGTTGCCCTCCGTGATCTAACATGGCCTTGCAAATGCATCCATCCCTTTCCTCCACACTTCCACTTCTTCTCTCCACAGCCCAGCTGCCATGGAGAACACCAGATATACAGTTTAATACTTTCAAATAAAAAATTAGGTCAAGGCCGGCCGCGATGGCTCACACCTGTAATCCTAGCACTCTGGGAGGCTGAGGTGGGTGGATTGTTTGATCTCAGGAGTTCAAGACCAGCCTGAGCAAGAGCGAGACCTCGTCTCTACTAAAAATAGGAAGAAATTAGCTGGACAACTAAAAATATATAGAAAAATTAGCTGAGTATGGTGGCGCATGTCTGTAGTCCCAGCTACTCGGGAGGCTGAGGCAGTAGGATTGCCTGAGCCCAGGAGTTGGAGGTTGCTGTGAGCTATGATGATGCCACGGCATTCTAGCCAGGGCAACAGAGTGAGACTCTTGTCTCAAAAAGAAAAAAAAAAAATCAAGTCAATATCTAGTTTGACACTTATTAAATAGTATTTGAAATTTGGATAGTTCCCGAACTCTGGCA